TCATCTTTTAATGTGCCAGTGGCATGGAATTTCTTGCAATGGTTATTTAAGTTATCCGGTATGAACTCAGTATGAGCAGTCGAACTGCGGATGGGTTGTTATGAATATGGTGATACTAGGAACATCCTGAGAAATTGTCCTAGACTTGGGAGAAATCTGTTCCATCAGAGCACACGTGCCACGTACTCCATTATAGTTACTACTCTACCTACACTACCAATTAGGGGTGGAGGAAAAGCGGGTAGATGGCGCCTAAGAGGTGGAGGCCCGACCCATTGATATATTCACTATGGTATAGCTGAGGTCGTTAGAAGAACGAACTCGAGTTATCATAAAGGAACAATTTCCTTAACTTGATTCAGTTATGAGTATCGAGGCAAGTCCTCATAATATGCTCTACTCATGAGTGAGCTTCGTAATCTTAAATTTACTTATGTGCATACTCCTGTTGGGAGATTATATGGAGATAACTATGTCTATCATTATGTGTTAGTCACTAAAAATAGTTGTGATGTGATTTCAGGAAAAATTAATTTAAATTGCGAATTTTATTCCCTATCGATGTGAGGGTTCATTATATGTTGTGGTTTTGTTTGACGGAATTTATTTAGAAGAAAAAAGAAAGGAAATGAAAATTTTCAGTTGGCACAATGTGCATATTACTTGTGGTACGTAGTTGAGGATGAGATCCTCGTATTTTTATATGAAGTGAGATATTTAAACTAGCTACAAGCTGCGGTGGATGTCATATAAGGACGACGTCCTTGTGGTGAAAAATTTATGTGTTTAAATTCTCCCTTGTGAAATTAAAAATTAGTACTATAGTACTTATAGGGAGTCATGCCTGTGAGTACGTAATTTTTGCCCTATATGAATTACTCCCATAATTTCAAACAGAATAATTTCATTTCACTATTTGCAATTTTGTGGATTTTTGTGGCATTTTCTGTTACTTGTTTGCATTTTTGTCTGTGCATTTTAATTAGTGAAAAATACAAAAATATGTGCATTTGCACTTAGGATTTAGTTTAACATTTTAGGATTAATTTGGTAAATTAGTTGTTCTATAAAAATGAAAAATCACAAAAATGGACCACTTTTGCATTTTTCGCCTTTTAATTTTAAATTTGTAGTTCTTCTTCTATTTTTAGGAGTTAACTAAATTTTGTAAATATTATGATGGGTAATTAGCTTAATTTAGCAAATTATTTTAATTTAAGGGTTAATTTGGTTTGTTAAGTAATTCAAAAAGAAAAAAAAAGAGGAAAGAGGAAAATTTTCAAAAAGAAACGGAAGGAGTTTCAATTTATGAATTGGGCCAGTTGAAGCCAAGACCAGCCTAAAATCACCCAAACCCGTCCAAGAAACCACCCCAACCCAAGCCCAATGTGCCTACCCGGTCCAGGATCCCTTTACCACTCAAAACGACCCCGTTTTATTAGGTTTTAATCTCAACCGTCGATGTTGTTTGATCAGACGGCTGAGAACTAGGGATTTTTTAATATTTTAATGTCCA